AAATAAATAAATAAATAAATAAATAAATAAATAAATAAATAAATAAATAAATAGCAGAACATGTAAAATGATGTTTGATAGTTGAGGTTTTCACATTCCTGACAAATGAAGTAAGTAACAAGAGAGGATCTTGAGTTTAATAAAAAGATGTGTCTGACCTATTTTTAAACCAAATGGTACCTAAGTAAAACTATCATATTTTACACAGGGCAACTCCAAAGTTTGCTTCTGCCCCATTAAGGCACTATCACACTTGCAGCAGGTTGTCATGTCAACTATCCATCAAGAGCCTAGATAAAACTACCACTGCACTCTATAAAATTCTTCTGCTAATCACACTGAGATGTAAGAGAACTGTTACAGAGATCTTCTAGAACCGGAGGTGTGGCTCAGGGGTTGAAGAGCACTGGTTACTCTTGAAGAACACCTGGGTTTGAGTCCCAGCACCTATAGAGGTTCATGATCATCTGAAACTCTAGTTCTAGGGTATCCAACACCCCCTTCTGGCCTCAGGCAACAGGCATGTATAACATCCACAAACAGACAGGCATGTGTACACATGAAATAAAAAATAATTTTTAAAAGGGATGGAGAGGTGGCTCAGATGTTAAGAATACATGTTGCTACTTATTACAGAGGACCTGATTCAATTCTCATCTCCCACATGGTGATTCCCAATCACTCATAACCCATTCCCAGGGGACCCGAAGCCGTCTTCAAACCTCACATGTACCAAGGACGAGAATGCATCTGCTGCACAGAGATACTTGCAGACAATGTATCCATATGCACAAAACAAACATTTTTAAATACAAGTCAGCAAACAAAAACCTGTTGTCCTGGAACTAAGACAACCGACTTTACTCTTTATCTGCTCTTTAAAACATGAAATGTGCTACAACGTGCTCATGATATGAGATAATGAGCCTTGCCCGTGCAGAGTGTCAGTCCCAAGTCAGGGCCTGACAATGGAGACTAGACTTTCAACCCACTCAGCTGCTTCTCTCAAGGTAACTTAACCCTGGCTATACTGTTCAAATTACTGATCTTGGAGATTGAAAAACTAAAATCAACGTAAGTCCAGATACAACAATTTTAAAAGCAATTTTTATGTGGAAGTTGACGCTTCAGAATTCTCAAACGTTATCTTAGTGGAAACTCTAAGACACACTATTCACATGGATCTCCAATCTTCCTACATGAAGACAAGAAAAAGCAGCCAAACAATTACAAGCAACCCACTACATTAATAATGAATTTATTCAATAGAATCTATCACTTTCTTAAATTTCATCATAAGAAAGCTGTGAGATTACTGCAAAAAAAAAAAAGTTCAGTTTTATATCAGTTACTTAAAAACGTTCCTACCTCAATGTTTTACACATATTCAACCAGAACTATTTGAGAAATAACTACTTATAACTATGTAAGGAAGAGGTCATTAATAAAATTTCAAGAGACTGGGAATAAGATATTAACTACTGGGGAAAAGGAAACATAGTACAGGACCTTCTGTTTGGGACAAAATTATAGAATTAATGTTCCTGAAAGATCACTTCACCTTTTAAAGCATGATTTTGTAAAAGGTAAAATTTATGGCAATTAAAGCTAATGAAGAAATGCAGCACAGCCTGCTTATGCTCAGGAACTAATGGGTCCACTGAGCATTTGTGGGATTATTTAGCCATCAGTGATAATGAATTGACACTGTCAGCAATGGTAATGTACCAATGCTCTCCAGCATCAGTAAGAACCAGCCCCTGCTCTTTGTTCCATTTTCCATTTTAACTTTTATGTGACTGTCCTATACCCAACACATGAAGCACAGAACCACCAATGATGGCCCTCCCTGAACAGGAAATTGCCTAGCTCATCACTCTTCTAGTCAACCCTACTGATCAGCCCTCCTCTGCTCACTGAGCTTCTTCAGGGCTTCTAGCTTTTCTGTAAAGCTGTCTACCCTACTATCTCTGTGTGTGATCTCTACACTGAATTTTTTTTTAAAAAAAGACTGAAAATTATAATTGCACAAGAGGTGAAGTTGAAAGGCCACTCTAATTCTAAAAGTTAAATACTGAGATCTAGAATGTTTTATCTACATATCTTCACATACACATGCCCCACAATGTAATTCTCTGTTGCAAACATAAGATTCAATACATTCATATTTACTTATGTTCTCTATCTTGGTGATCAAATATATAATCTACTAGTATAACACTTCAACTGTGTACAGTAAGCAATCAGCTAAGGAAAGATTCAAAGCATACATTTAAAGTATACAATTAATTACTGTTTATAATACTATGTATGTAAAATACTATTCTCTGAAACATTTTTTTTTGCTTTCCAATATCTTAGTACCCTACAATTTAAAAATGGTTAAAAAATAGCTTTCAACTAACCTAATATGCAAAAAAAAAAAAAAAAAAAAAAAAAATTACTTATTTCTCCCAAATGGGAAAAAAAACTGCTTACTGCTTCCTAATAGCACATTTTCATTTGGAGTCATGATCATCTCCTGTATCTCAGAATAAAAACAGTACACGGGGTATCTTTTAAAATTACAAGACCTATAAAAATTAAAATGCCCCAGCAGCTAAACTCAGTAGTAACAAAACTCATTCTCCAACTGATCATGAGTGGCTGCAGGGCAAAGGTTCATCTTCATTCACTTTAGCTGCAAGTCACTGAACCATCAATTCGGCCAATGAATAAATCACAGACCACGGTTGGTAAAACTGCTAGCAAAGTTATCTGTAAAACTATCTCAAGGGTCAAAACATGAAATCATATTCTGGGAAAATGTATTGTCCAATAAAAAGCAGAACTGTTCCTGACTTGAAGGATATTTACATGTTCATGTAAACCTGAAAAGCCTTCTACCTAAGCATAATATGTGCATAGCCCATAATTTAATTGGATCTATGAATTGCAGATTCCTTAAGTTTCACATAAAAGTATTATATATGATGTACTTATTAGTTAATTTCTCTACATAATAACATTAAAATATATTTTAATAAGAAGCAGAGTATTAAATTCCACCTCTTAAAGTCCTGTAATACACCATATATGTCATAGCATTTTAAGCCCTTTTAAACATTTCTGCTAAAATAATTAGTTTTACATTAAGGCATCTCAGTGCTTTCTATAAATGCAACATATCTGAATGACAATTAAACAGTGTGAATGACTCTACGAAGAAACATGAACTAAAAAAAGGAAACTAGTTTTGAAATCACACAACTCAAAAATATATTACACACTGTTTTACCACATCATTCCTCATCATCAGTAACCAGGCATCTGAAATTAAATCTTTTGTTTGTCATTATAGAATATGCCCGGTGGACCTAAAGAGCCATTAATATGATTAGAATTAAGGCACTATAGCAAAAGAAAAAAAACATACATACGCACTCCTAAAGCCATATAATCTGGGTTGTTTTTTTTTTTTTTTTCTATCTTTAAATGGAATTTATAGTTCTCTCTGGCAATGTGAATGAACATCCTATAATTTAGTCAATTTACAGATTACAGGTTCAAATTGACCTTGTAGCCCATAAAATTGCTCATCTTCAGCACAGGATTAGAAGTGGGAGAAGAATGTCATAACTGTATTTAAAGAATTTACCATAACAAAGAAAAGGAGGGTACGCACGCATAATTTTCGCCACTCTTACTCATATCAGTTTTGAATTCTCAAACAATGGGTACCCGCACACGGCTCTCGGCTCACACAGCAGAGGTGGCTTCAATTTACTTACCCACAGACGTGACACTTGTATTCCCTCATCCCAAGGTGCCTTTTCACATGGTTTCTGGCATCTCCAAGCTGAGCTGTTGCGAAATGGCAGATCTTGCACTTGAATGGTTTTGATCCTGAGTAAATTTAACATAAAATAAGATTTGGACTTGAATAACACATCACTGATAGACTTTAAAATGGGGAGAACAGCACCGTCAATATAATAATTTCTGTCTCCAAAATGGAATACACGCATTCACCTATAACTTTCTTGATCCCATAATTATCTTACCTAGGTTTTAATGTTTTAGTGAGCCTTCCCAATTCTCAGTAACATTTCTAAGATTTAAATTCAAGAGTGACAGTAAGCAACTTAAATGGGATAAAGAAAGTTAAACATTCTTCATAGACTGAAAAAATATTTCCTGAAGTATGCTATTCAAAAATGGCACATTTTTAAACCGCAAATACAAACAAGGTCACTAGTATCTACAAAACGTATTACTGAGTATATCTTCAGTGCCCATCCACTTTCTACAGATTCCCCAGCTTTGAACTCATTTGCAGAAAAAAGTAGTATAGACATTCTGCATTGACCTCGAATAAGCCACTATATCACACCTCACTAGCATCTTCACAGACATGTGACTTCGCAGAGCAAAACTGCTCTGCTTCTGTCATCATTTCACAGTCTGTGGTCAAGCAACCAGAAGTGTCAGCAAAATGGTTACTGAGTTCACCAACACATATTTCATCACAAGAAACTCAGTAACAAAAAGCACAAAAAAGTTTTAATTACTAATTAATAAGGAGTGAATAATAGTCCAAACAAGAAATCAAACCCTTTCAAAGTTGATAGCAGCACTACAAGTGCTGAGAAAGATACTATTCATTAATCAGTCCTACATCAGTGAGAAGTAACAGTCTCTTAAAGAAGACATGTACACACTGTCTTCTGACTTTGTAACAACTACTACATCCTGAAATAAATCAAAATCATACAGACCACAGCTTAAGATCTTTACAATGTCTCCACACTTTCTGTGTCTGTAGGATCTACTTTGTAAAACTAACTCTTTCTGTTACAGTTAGAGTATGAAATACATAAATTTCAAAAATTTCTAGAATACAAATAAAAGTTTTTGATCAATGAACCTTTATAGATTCACAAAACAAAATCCTCCATGAAAACCAAGCTTGAAACTAACACACTCAAGGAAAAAAAAAAAAAAAAAAAAAAAGTCTCTTAAATTTCAATTCAGTTCTAAAAATTACCAAAAAAAAAAGTGGAGCTTTTAATTTTAACCTTCCAACAGCAATTAAAAAGAAAAAGTCAACAGTATTGCATGGCAGAAAAGGCTGAATCTATCACTGCCCAATGACAATGAAGCAGCTCTCATAGTACTTCAATTTCTAAGGTTAGAGATAGGTGTAAAATATATCCAACAGACAAATGGTTCTGTGTAGTAAGGCTTATATGTTTAAATATCAAAAGCAGGTTGGGACTCTAGCTTACAGCGATAGCATTCTATTAATCATTTTAGCAACTACAGTTGATTTAAATGGTTCAGATAAAATTAAACCTATTATGACTTTGAAGCATTATATGAAACAAAATCCCATAACAGAATTTTGAAAAAAATAGGAATCAATCTGCCTGTGCTCTAAATTGCAGTACTTTTTCCAAAGACAATTTGAAAATATTAATAAACAATAGTATCAGGGCCCCAAACAATAAGGATAAACGCCCCAACATTTATGTGCAAGATGACTTGGAGAGGCAGATCTGAATGCCTAGTGACTCTGACAGCCCCCAAACGCTGACTAGCCCAGCTCAGGTGGCACTAAGACCACAGCGGGTGGAACAGAAATGTCTGTGTATCTCTCACTGCTAGGTGCAGCTCTGAGAAAGTCATTCTTGCAAGTCTCAAGGCTCACTGGCACAATGTGTAGACCCCACCCCGATCAGGAATGAGGTAAGCTGCTCCACAGAGACAGTCAGGGAAGCTTTGCCTCCCAGCTAAGATTCTGGGAGGCAAGGATGAGCTGGGTAAGACCTCTCTGCAAGAAAGGAAGCCTTTTACTTTACTTCCCTAAAGAGAATATTTTGTTTTTACATTTGCTATATAATACACATTATAAAATGAATCCATGCCCATGTTTATAACACAAAACCTATAAAAGCACGTATTTCTAAACTTGCCTTTCTCTCGGGCATATTTCAGTACTAAACTATCCAGATTATCTTAAACAATTCTATTTCTTGGAGCAACACTACATCAGCAGGTTGTTTGTTTGTTTTTTTCTTTTTAATTTGGTATGTTAAGATTTTATGATGGGAAAAAAACACTAAAGTGGTTCTAACTTTCTGGTACCTGGTTATTTACTAAACAAACCCAAAAGGCTTGAAAACTCAGTCTGCACTCAGACGCAAAGGTCACAGCTCTGCTTCCTTGGCACTACTCTGCAGACACAGATCTGCTTTGGCATCCGAAAGGAAGGACAGGATACTCAGACCTCAGAAGAGGGAGCGGGGAAGATGCATGTGTGTCCTGCAATGTCTGCTCTAGTCTAAGCCCGTGGTTCTTCCTAGCATTTGAACATCTCATCCACCCGTCCGTCCATCAGTCCATTCATTCACTCATCCAACGAATTACGCTGAATGCCAATTTTGAGTGAAGTATGTGCAGGGTGAGTAGTGAATGAAGTCAGTCCCTTCCCTCTGTGCTCAGTCTACAAATTAATTGTCCTCGTGATCAATATGGTCTCTAAACAGTTACAAACTGGCCTAAGACACCCAGCACTAACTTAAAAGCTTTCAGTGAAGCTGCACACACCTTATATACCCACACGTGAACACTTTACATAGGACATAAGTTACCAGAGTACTATGAACACAAGCAGAATGGCTTCCAGAAAGGGTATTTTCCATCGCCAGTGACATAAAAGCTGTAGCAGAATACTGCACAAGAGGTAATGCCCTGCTCCATGTGCTCTTCTACTGTGAGAGGAAAGACAAGCAGGCTGAGAGCTTCCCACCACAAATGCACAGAAGTGAGTGCTCTCTTCCTACAACTCTCCACAATCAGAATTCATTTCTTAAGAGTGCATCTTGTATCATGCGAAGAATAATTACAACAGATTCCATAAAGCACCCAGCAAAGTCCACATATGGGGACAGGCTGGAAGAGTAAGCCCTTTACCAGCTAAGAAGCAGTAATAGCCCTGTATTACTCTTTCATAGATAAGAGCAAAGTACCAGAAAATCATCCATTTTAAGATATTCCAGGGAAGGAAAAAGCATGAAATTAAAACCTAAAGACCAACATCCCCCAAAAAGTGACCTGCAAAACTGATGTGGTGGGCTGGTACTCTGTCCCAGGAAGGGTGAGTTCTGCAGTGCTTCAGAGCAAATAAAAGTATGCTTGCTGGTAAGGCCAACAGAAGATATATGAAAAAATAAAAGTACGCTAACTTTTACTAAATGTTACAATCAATGATGTAACTTATAGAAGTAAGGTTACTCTGTCACATATTGATAGTTACCTCACTTTCACAGCCACATTAACTTGATTTTAAATGCAATTAATACATATAGTCAAGGAAGACGAATGGACTACATTCTGCACTTAACCTGGTAGACATTTTCAAATGGCACAAGTGACCAGTGCAAACCTATTTTGCATTGTAAACGACTAAATAAATCTTAATGGATTAAGAATGATCAGCTATCAACACACAAGGGAAATTAAGTGCTGAAATGCCTACATTGATTATTTTAAATTATTAGCCTTACTCTGTTCTTGAATTTGTATGCTTTTAGTGAGCTTTAACACATTTACAAGACTTATTGACTATAATTACAAGAGAATTCAAGTAATGGACACATCAATTATAAGCAACATGTCTTGACCAGACAAGTTGCATAAAGAATTCTAAAAGGAGCTCCATTAGCATCTTCCTCTGTTTTATTCAGCGTTATCTGACTTAAGAGGGCATGTTAAGAAAACACATATTTTCTATGCATAAGAACAGCCTGATACCTAAGATCATGTCATTTCAGACAGTGAGAAGGAACAACAGAACTGTGTAACAATGCAAACAACTAAGCACGTAAGCCAATCACAAAGATGGCTCTACAGCACATGGAGCAAGCACGCAAAGACCAAATGTTTATATTTACCAAACTAAGCCTCTGTGGGTTTTCCTGTTATTTTCTTCAAGGAAAAATTTTGATCTATCTTTAATAACCGTCAGTTCCTGATAATGCTCTATATCTTTCTCCGTGTAACCTGCACTAAGTTTCAAAAACTGCAGGAATTTAAAGTATAGATTTAATAATATGCCATTATTTAAAAGTACAGTGAAATAAACCTTACAGTTTTAATGAAAATATGTTCATTGAAATGTGAATTTATTATTCAAATCCAGCCATAAATTCAACCATGTAGACAGAACTTGTCTAAGCAGAGCACCATGATTTAGAAAAGCTGTCTATTTAAAATAAAGAATGTATGGCAGGTTTATAGAAACACTGCAGTGAATTTTTACATAAATTTAGAACAGTAGCTTATGCATTTTTTACCAAATATATATATTTTTTAATTTCTCCCCTAACTAAACATTGACATGTAATGTTCAATGTGTCAGCATACAGACCCTAAGTCAGGTGCTACTTCAATAAACAACAAATTTCAATACATATTTAAAAAACCATGTTCACAAATTCTGATCCTTGACTGTAAAATCTTATTGCTGAGACTCACACTTGTAGATACAAACTACATAGTTTTAAATTATTAATATCTTAAGAATTTTATTAGCCGGGCATGGTGGCACAAACCTGTAATCCTAGCACTTGGGAAGGCAGAGCCAGGTAGATCTCTGTAAGTTCAAGGACAACCTAGTCTATAAAGTAAGTCCAAGACAGCCAAGGCTACACAGAGAAACCCTGTCTTGAAAAACCAGAAGAAAAATAAAAGGAGAAATAAAAAAAAATGTATTAAGGAGTTGGAGAGATGGCTCAGCAATTAAAAACATTAGTTTCCCTTCCACAGGAGCCAGGTCTGGCTCTAAGGGAACCCAATGCCCTCTTCTGGCTTCGTGGGCACTGCTTACATGTGGCACACAAACATACATGCGTGCAAAACACATAAAAAATAAAGGTTAAAATTTGAGGGCATGGGGCCCACACCTGTGACCCCAACACTTAGAAGGCAGAAGCAGGTGGCTCCCTGTGAGGTGGAGGACAGCCTGGTCTACACAGTGAGGTTCAGGACAGCCAGGGCTATAGTGAGACCCTGTTGCAAAATAAGAGAATGTTACTAAAGGCTAAAAACTACTTAATCTAAAACTGCAAAATGTCTTAACATATACTTTAGAAAACTAAATACTTAAGACAAAACAAACGAAAAGCAGTAAAACATATGCATTTTGTGAACATATGAGGTGCTGCTTTCTGACAGAAGTAAACTGTGTCTACTAATCTGCCTTCAGACTCTGTGGCTGAATCACCTCTGGAAACATCAAATGCTGACACTTGTCAGACACAATCAGAACATCCCGCAAACAAGAAACATGATTCAGGCAGAAGCCCACAAGCAAATTCAAGTGGGTTTCTTTACTTGTTGGACCCAACACCCCAACTTCATCATTTTCTTGCACTTCATAGGGAACAGGCTCACTCGGGGCAACATACCTGTGTGAGTCCGAATATGAGCCAAGAAGGCCATGGAGTTGCTGCTCCGACACATCTTCCCACAATACTTGCAGACGTTGCCCTGGTTTTCTTCTCTCTCGCGATTGATCTGCTCAGTGTCTTCCACGATGTACTTATTTACCTCCCGCAACAATTCCTCATGCTGCCCTTTAATATGCAGAAATAAACTCTGCTCAGAATCAAAGGGCTCTGTGCACTTGACACACTTGAAGGTGGCCCCTCCCTCTGGAAGCTCTTCCACACTGGCCTGTTCATTCCTCATATGACCAGCACTAGCCAAATGCTGGTGAAGGTTGCTCTCGGTGTAGAACGATTTTCCACAAAGTAGACAATGAAAGTGCTTCTCCTTCGTAGGATGCTTCATGGCAATGTGAACATTCAGTCCACTCAGTCCATCTGCTAAGAAACCACAATCGTCACATCGGATTCGTGTGGACTCACCAAAGGAAGTGCCTTCAACTTTCCTCTTCTTCAAACCTTGAGCACAGTCTTTTAGGGGCAGCTCACTAACTCTCACCCCTGTTGCCATCAGACCCTCTTCTGACTGATCTACCAATTCACCATCTTCAGTTTTTATTCTAATTATGGAAGAATCAAACCTACCAAAACTGTACATCGTTTGCCCTTTATCATCAATACTTATTATAGTCTCATAAACATCACTACTGTCAACTGTGCCATCAGAGGCCGGGCCATCCTCCTCCAAAATGGCAGTTTCCTGTTGTGAATTCACCAGAACTTGCTTATTCTCAAAAATAGTGTTGGCTTGCACCTCTTTTAAATCTTCCATCCTCTGTTCACATCCCACTTTGTTCTGGCCACCAGCATCCCCGTCCAGCTGGCCTTTTGGCATTTTCATCACCACTGGGGAAGCGGATTCAGCTGAAAGGCCCCCATCTATGTCTCCAGGGCAGAGGGACTTGTCAAGGACTTCAGCTCCACTGTCCTGTGTGCTGGCCCCCTCAGCTTCACCATGTACACCTGAGTCACCAACATCGGTCACCATGTCATGGTTTGTCTTTGCTGTCGCACAGGCTACAGCAGAGCATCCTGGATCTTCCTCCTGAAGGCAGCTTGGGGAGCTGTGATTAGAGGGAGGGTTAAGGGACACCATCTCCTTGGGTTTCATTCTTCTGTCCTTAACAAGGGGCTGTTGCAAGGTCTCACAGAGGGAATGATCTTCGCTAAAATTCGATTCTTCCTCAGTCACAATCTCCACTGAGTCAGGGGCACAGAGCACTTTAGACATATCTAAATGAGCACGGCCATCTAACATAGAACAACCCGCAGCATTTCTAGATTTGAGAGTTCCAGATGAGTGGTCTGGACTTATTTGAAATTCCTCAGAATTTTGGGAATGCTCCTCCTCGGGTATGATGACACTCCTGGATATTTCTGAAGAGCCGGCTTCCACATTTGAGGAGTTGAGGTAGGACTGCCGTCTCATTCTGTGCTTCTCTGTTGCAGCGTGCCTAGTCATCTCTCGGCGAGTCACCGCATAGTAATCACAGGCCATGCAGTAAAACTCAAACTCTTTGGTATGCTTCCTTTTCACATGCAGCTCCAGCGAGGCAGCAGAGTGAGCACTGAACTCACAGTGCAGACATCTGTTGTCCCCTGAAACTGTGACATCTCTCTGAGAGCACGCATCATCCTGCTGCAGACAGTCCTCTGTGTCTAGAGGTATCTGTCCCTTTGTGTCGGAGAGACAACTGCTGACTTCTGCAGCTACAGAATGGAATGCACTTCCGGCTTCAACTTCAGGGGCATTTCGATCATCTACCACTGGCTTTTCCAAAGTAGAAGTATCTACCTTAGCTGACATGTTAGCCTGTTCATCAGAAAGAGTCACTGCAAGCGGGGTGTTTTTACACACTTCAAGATTACCCCCTTCAGGGCCAACAATTATATCTGAACTTTGTTTTCCATTGGCTTCTATTTCTACCCGTCCTTTATGTTTCTTGGTAGCACAATGGCGTTCCATATCTCCTTTAGTTACAGTATAATACTTACATACTTTGCACAAATAACTGTACTGGTGACTGTGTTTACGTCTGATGTGCACGGTCAAATTTGTAATACTAGAGGCCAGAAGTCCACAGTGCGAACAAGTCCGAGAAATGCTGCCTTTGGGCCTCCCTCTCTTTGGAGCGGTAGCTACAGCTAATTCCTCGTCTTTGGCGACAGCAACAGACTGGGGCAGTTCCTTGGAAGGCAGCACACTCTGCTCACGACAGGAACGCTCCTGTAACCACATGCCAACATGGCCTTCGGACCGCCCACTTCCACAACCAGGAGACTCCTCTTTCTTATCATTTGCACCTATACATACCCTTTCAATGCACTCTTCAAAACTTAAACCAATATTGTTTTTCTTAGCATTTTCGAGGTGTTTGCTTCTTTTAATGTGCTTCTCCATTCCTTCTTTGCTCAATGAATAAAGATTACATGCTTTACAAAGAAAGTGATAGTCCTGACCATGGCGAAGCTTTATGTGTCTTGTGAGGACAGTGGAAGACCTTGTTTTATAAAAGCACTTCTTACACTGAAACTGAGGCTTACTCGAATGCCTTGCTTCAGTCCCATGGCTTACCCTGGACTCTGCAGGTTCTTCCTGAGCTGCTTTCCCTGATTCTCCTCTACAATCTTCTGTGGGTTTTGACTCTAAAGTACTTAAAGGTAAAACAGAATCACTGCTCAATGATGAAGCCATCTTTGGTTGAACCACTAAACTATCATGCATCTCAGTTGCTCTGTGCTCTTCCACATCGTTCTCAGACAAGAACAGGTTACAAGAGGTGCAAAAGAAGCCCTGGCCATGCTTTTCCTTCATGTGGTCTCGGAGACTCACTTCATTGGAGGAACTGAAGGAACAGCACCGGCAGCTGAGGACAGGAGCCATCTGCTGATGCTGGCTACTGTGCAGGTGTTCCTCTACGTCTCCCGGTGCTGGACTAGAAAAGCTACAAGCCTGACAGTAAAACTGCGTCTCTCTTGCATGGCACTTTTTAACATGAATTTCCAAGTCTGTCTTGTTTGCAGCTTTCTGACCACACTCTGTACAGGTGCACTGTACAAGAATCTGGTGGGCAGCTGGCTTTACTGGCAGGGCAGCCGGCTGTGTGGAGCCTGAAAGACAGGAAGCTGCCTTGTCCTGCATCACTTCTGGGCTGTCTGAGGTAGTCACACACAGACTTTGGACATCCTTGCCCATTTGTATTTGATCCAGCATTGGCTGTGCATCATTTGTTTTCATCTGTGTTCTCAAGTGTTTCATATACATCCTCTGAGTTTCATTTGTACCCCGTTTATTGATTCCTAAAAGGTTAAACCTTTTCTTTGCCTGGCCCTTTAAAGTAAAACTGCCACTTCGTCTGCGGAAGCTATTACCTAGCATTAGAAGATTTCGCTCAGACCTCGGCCTCGCGGCGGTACTGATACTGCTATGTGCTGTCTGGAGGGTATTTCTGGTGGACTCTGATTTATTTAAAAGACCCTCTGAACATCCTAAGCTCCCTAGCTGTTTGTTCTGATTTTCAGGATTTTGAGCTATGCCCAACGTACCATTTTCCTCAACTATCTCTGCTTTCCCTGATGAGATATTCCTACATGGCACCATTTTAACAAGGAGCTCACTACTACCGTGTTCAGAAAGGGCTCCTCTGCACTCTTTAAATTTGTTCCCAGTATGCTGTACTCCTTTTGAATCCTCATTCCTTGCTATTGGTTTAGAAGCTCTTGGTTTTGTTCTAATATTCTTTGTTCCCATGACACAGGCTTTTTTAGGAAAAGGCTGTTTTGTTAAGATCTGTACAAATCCTCCACGAGCAGCAAGATTCTGACGACGAAGGTGTGTTTTGCCAAGATAATGTTCATTCAACAAGTTTTCCTCAGCACACTGAAAGCCACAGAGATCACAGGAAAAGCCTTTCTGTGGCCCGTGAGTGTGTCTGAGATGTGCATGAGGAGAAGAGCTGTGGTGTGCTCTGTGGCTACAGTGGCAACAGGCATTTCCCTTCCCCTGCTCCACATGACATCCCACATGCTCTTCCAAAGCAGAGCAGGAGGAAAATGAATGGCCACACATGCTGCACTTGACCACTGTGTCTCCATTTCCAAAGTTATAGCTAACACTCATTTCTTCTGCAGGAAAAGGAGTGTGCGTTTCAGGAACAAGGGAACCCATTTCCTGAGCAGGCTCTCTCACTACATCTGCTTTCAGAGGAAGAGAATCACACGTGCTAAAACCACAGGATCGGGAGAAGATATTCGGGAGAGCTCTGCCTCCATCTGAGTGGTTCTCTGAAAAGGCCTCCTTTCCCGCTTCAGCCAAATGGACACTAGCTTCCACAGTGCCTGAGCCACAGGCACCCTGCTCGCTCATCTCCAGGGGCTCCACAGCCTCTGTTCTCAGTCGTTTGGAAGCAAGTTCAATTCTGTCTTCCTCTATAGCAACACTGTCGGCCTTGGATGATTCTGAAAAGACCCTTTTGCTTGTAAACTTCTCAGAGGCATTTGTTATCTCATCAGATACAGGCCCACAACTGGCATCATGGGATGAAACGCTTCTTGTGTCTCTTCCCTCCTTAACACTTTCATCCTCGTCATTTTCATGTTTATTCTCAGAATCCATTCTCAATGAAGTCCTGGTGATATTCTTCTGTCAAAGTTGGATTTAACTAGAACTTACAACCTGTAAAAGCAAAAACAAAAACATGATATTAAAACTCTGCACATAAAGAAAATGCAAACCTCTTAGTCTGGACCTGAGAGAGAAAAGCATGATGAAATTAACCTCTATACTTGACTGATTCTGACCCCAAGTCTAAAGTTATAGGCAATCTTGATGGTTGTGGTGGCTCAGACCTGTAATCTCAACAATTCTGAGATTGGGACAGCATCACTGCCTATGATCAAGGCCCCAGTCTAGATTACACAGTAACTACCAGGCCAAGCCAGGCGACAGAGACAGACAGACAGACAGACAGACAGACAGACAGACA